TGCTCGGATGGACTGGCATCTGAGAATAACCTGCTACTGCTTGAGAGGGGTATAAACTGTGTGGGTAGCTCCACCCTTCTAGAACAGCTAAATATGGCCCAAAATTGATTCAGAAGGCAGTCTTGGGGAAGGATCAGGACCATCCAGCCCCTAATTTTCTTGATGACCTGTGGAGGGAGGCCTCCAGCAGTGATTGTAAGGGTATACCCAAACTCCCATGGAAGGGTTATGTGTTAGGTTACAAAAGAAGAGAACTTCATTATTCTTTTAAATCTTTTCATCTCGACACATCTTTACGCGCACTTTGATGTGAACAAGCTGGCCTTCAACGCTACTCACAGACTTTAAAATTTTCATGAGAGCCCAAGCCTATGTGGGTCAACTGAGACCTTGTCAACACAGGTGCTGTGCTGAGATTTACTGACCCATTCCAACAGTAGACTGGGCAAATTTTGGAACTCAGCTGTAGGATAAATTCAGGCCCAGACCTGCCTTCCAGAGAAGGGTTCCTGCCCAGAGCTGGGATGTGGGCCAAAGGAAAGGTTCCTCTTGGCACCAAAGCAGAGATTTCTGTGTTTCTGAAGGATGAAAGGTTCTTAGTTTAAGAGTAATTCATAACACATGCATGATGCAAAATTGAGCTAAATTAATTAAGCTGAAAATTAATTCACTGGGTTGTTTTTTCCACTGAGCTTTTTTTAACAGGGTTGTTCAACTGTGCAATGTATTCGATCAATAGAAACTGCTTCTTAGAAACAACATTTTACAGTGTAATTTTGAAGTTGAAGAGCTACTTGCAGTGTAATTGTTGAGGCCTCCTAGGTCTTCAAGGGCTTAATCCTCACACCTTCATCTTTACTGTAGTTAGGTGGCAAGTAATGTCAGAGTGGGTATCACTGGATTCCTGCTTTAAGTAGGCAGGTGGGCTGGTGGGACATGTAGTTACCTTTGGTTGCCCCTTCAAGAGCACACACAGCACCTGTGTAATGCTCATAGGCAAGTCCCAGTATAATCTCCTGCTGATACATCTACTGAACTCCTCCTAACATCACTGTACATTAAAGGGAAGAATAATCTCTTTGTTTCTGGCATCCTAAAATCCCTTTGGTTTCCTTAATACATCTGAAGCTATACTATTGCTTAGGAGTAGAGGAGTGTCCTACCTTTAATTCTTCATTACGTCTGAGGAGAGGCCAAGAGGAGTGGCTTTCTTCAGCCTTAAGAAGAGAAGGCTAAAGGGTGACCTTACTGGTGTCCACAGCTCTCTCGTGGAGGCCTTAGAGGAGGTAGAGAGAGAGAGACACACACACTCCTCTGAGACAAGTGCCGTTGAGACAAGAGGCAACAGGAACATGGCATGTTAGGAACTATGTTTTCACCATGAGGGTGGTCAAACCATGTGCACAGGACTCCTGTCCTGGAGGCCCATCCTCAGAGGCTCTTGGAAGCAGTAGGACAAGGCTGAGAGCACACTGATGTATTTGTATCCCTGCTTGGAGCAGGAGTTGAACTGGACGCTCTCCCATGGTCCCTTACATCTCTGTGTGTTTGAGCACCTGAATATCTGAATGTGAGAGAGGGGAAGGAAGGAGGAGCTGGCTGAAGCACCTGGAGTGTGGAGGGGTGAGGGTGGCAGGTAGGTGTGCATGGATACTGCCCACAGGTATGGGGCAGAAAGGTTGGTTCCTGCCAGGTACTGGGGAAAGCTGGCAGTGAAGAGTTGGGAGTGATCTCAGGCCCTTCATGCTGGTCTTGGTCTTGCAGCTGCCAGTGTTTTGGGTCAGCCTTGGTCTGTGCTTTTTTCCTTCAGACTCAAAAGAGTAGGGTTGCTTTCCCAGATGTGGAAGATAATCAAGAAGTAGTACCATGAAGAGCAAAAGGAAGGAAAAACATTCCTTCCAAGGTCACAGAGACTACATTTGCTTTTATTAAAATTGTCATTGACTCTTAATTATCCTTCTGGAACATTAGCTTTGAAATTTCCTGCAGAATCAACTGTGTGCAAATCACTTTGTTCAACCAAACTTTTGACCTTTTGAAATGCACATTGTGAAGTCCCAGGACACTAGGTATTTCAAACTTCAGATTTAAATCATTAAGCTATTCCTTCTGGCTAAAAAATCATTTTCTTTCATCTAAGTTGTATATGGCAACTTTTCAGTTAGCCCACAGTGCCTTTTTTTTTCAATGAGGCTTTTATTTTTTCCATTTATGAAGATCTGACATGAGTGTAGAAACCAGCTGGCTAAACAAGTTGGATTCCACCAGAAGATTTTTCAAAGTTACTTTAAGACAGTTGTTTCCAGACAAAGGACCTTAACATAATAAAAAAAAAAGTTGTCAGTTAAGTATGCAGTAGAAAAAAACGCTAAGTGGAAAAAATTAAAATAAACAATAGTATAATTTTAAAATAGTCAGGGAAGGGTAGACAGGAACCACAAGAGACATACTGATTTAGATCAGTGGTTTCAACTTGGATGTAGCCTGCAGATCTCTTCTGCTCTGGAAACTACTTCTGAGGGGTCTGTGAGAGGAGATTAGGGGAAATGTGAACATGTATGCTTGAAACAGCAGGAGACTGCTGGGCTAGGGAGAAAATATCTGGAAGAATGAAGTATGAAGGAAAAATAACCGTTGCATGTCTTGGGAGAACAAAGTGTTGCATGCTGCAGAAACAGGCCAGCCAGCAGCGTGCTGACCCTCAGCCTGACCTAGCGAGCCTGGAGCTAAGCAGTGATGCTGGTTCTAAGGGTTTTCTAGCATGGATGTCATGCTGTACAAACAAAGCTGTGCTGCTTGGGGAGTCTAAGATGCTGTACCCATGTAGTGCTGTATCATGCTGTATGATCTTCCTCCATCTGCTTTCTGCACTATTGTAGGGTACAAATAGGAAAATTGGAGGGGTCACCATCTTGATGACATATACTTGAAAGAGATGCAAACCCTGTAGTCTTTATGGAAGCACAGAGATGAGGTTTTCAAGGTAGTGGGTTTCCTCCTGCTTCAGGGCTTCAAAACCAACAAGATCGTTTTACAACTAATGTCACTTTTTGGCCAAGTTACACAAGATGTCTGTCATATGAGATGTCAGAAGATGTTCCCCTCTCCTCCTTGAGTTAGCCCCCCTTGAACTTTTTATTTCTCCTTCAGAATAGAAGATATCTCTAAAAGCACCTACTTCTGACAAATTTAACGTAACTCATGTTGACATCCTCTCTTATTGCTGTCAAACAGTCTTTTGTGAAACTGAATTAAGGCTTTATAGGGAATTTAATAGCTTCCTGTGAAGAAGGGAAAGAAGGAATCTCCCAATATTTGAAATATGCAACAGAATACTCACCAAGTTCTGTGTATAATTAGACTTTCATCTGTATCCTCATAGGAGTCGAAAAATAATTTTGCAAAGAGTGTTTAAGGTAAGTTCTGAACTGACATTCTTTTGGTGATCAGAAATGAATTGTTACTTTAAATGTCTATGAAACGAGTCTCTAGTGACACTTTAAAAAGATTTTGTGTGGCACAGCCAGCTTCTAATGTGTTTCATAAGACTTAGGGCTGAATTGCTGCTGCCGCGTAGGAACGTGGGTTTTCATTTTTTTAAATGTCTTGTTGTTGCATGTGAGTGCTCAGATCGAACGTGCTTCTGTGTGCTTGAAAGGAAATGCATTAGGAGTGAAAGGTCTGTTGACAATTTTTTTTTATAGTAAGCTGAGCAGCAAATTCTTTGTCAGAAGTCAGAGATCCTGATGTTGCTACATCTGTGGAGAAGAGCTTGTTTCCTTTCTAAAATAGCATCCACTACAGAGACTCTTGGTACAGGCAAGTCTGCAGGAAAGCAGAGCTGTGTGTTAGGAGACACTGGCAGAGACCAACTACAAATGAGGCTCTGTAGCTGAAGCGATGCTGAAGCCAGTGCTAGTCAGGATTGGGTTTGTGCATAAAGCTCTGTAGGGCAGAGTAGTTTATGTGGAGACAAAGGCAAAATGGAGTTTAAGCACAATCTGAGCGTCTGCTTTGTCCTAAGGTGAAGAATGAAAAAGCAGACAGTCACCTTCATATTATCACTCCCCGATTTTTGTGATAATTCTTTAACCAACAAAAAAAATAGGGGGAAGGAGAGAAACATTAGAAAGAAAAGTGAGTATTTGTGATGTCTGTTAGTTTTAAGAAAAAAGAAAAACTTCTTCTTCAGGAAATTGAGAGTGACAGGCCCTGAATTTATCCTTAGTGTATGGTAAAGAACAGTGAAAGATCAGGAGCAGGGTTTTTTCCATGGTAATTCTTCCATTTGTTAGTTTTTGCATTTACTTTTTTTTACTACTAAATTTAAGACTGAGTGCCTGGATCTACCAATTCCTTGTTACACTTGTAGGCTTCCCGTTTCAGGATTTCTTCCCGTATTCAAGCAGTCTTCATTCCTACCTGGTCGCCATTAATTCTCTCCTTACTAATCTCTGGTTCAGAAAGCATCTCCTGTTGTGTGTTTCCTTTTTTCCACATCTTTTGCTTCTCCTAGTACTGTTCCTTAACAGTGTGTTGAGAGCTTGGATAAAAATTTAAATTTCAACTCAATATTTTAATGAACATTAGTACAGTAATTTCTTTTTCAGTTTTAAAGTATAGGCCTCCTTTAGTAGGTTATAACATCTTCACAGAAGTGTGCTTATTTCTGTCATTTCAAATGTTGACTTGCAGTGGCATTTGTAAATAGTAATTCCATTGTCTAGTAGAAAGCAAATAATGGAAGTTGTTTATAGCAACATCACCTTTTTGCTTACAGTTTAAGTTGGCTTTTGCAGTAAAAGGTAGTGTATGTATCATTTGTCACACAAGTCCATATTTAGGAAGAGCAGAAAAAGAAGGAAAATAGTGTTGTGTGCAGTCTACAGTTTGTGCTAACCTGTATTATTTATTTCCCTGTTATTTATTTATTTCCTTTTGTATCACACTAGCTGTTGAGATAGTCTGTCTTGTGCTGATAATGATGATCCTTGTTACAGGCAGATGCAACGGAAGCCAGCAGCACCTGCAGTCACATATGCAACATATCGAGGTTCTGCAAGGATTAGGCAGCTACTGAAGAATCAATCGGAGACGGCTGAAAAAGGAGAAGAAAGTACTGAGAACAGAAATGCTTCAATGGTCAAAGAAAATGGAGAAATCCAAACAACCGTCTCACTGAAATCAGGACACTTAATAAAAGAAAATGGAGAAAATGAGGATAAAGATCACGAAGATGGAGTCATAGTAAATTCTTCTGCATTTAAAATGGAAACAAAAAGGTCTGGTAAAGTTCAACATGGCTTGGGTAGCAGTAAACATGAAATAACTGCAAAGGCCTCAAATTCATCTACTGAATCATCTCACGAGATAGACTTACAACACAGACCTGCTTTAGCTGCAACAAAAGTTAAAAGGACATGTTCACTAGATTCATTATTGTCATCAAATAGAAGAAACAATGAGATCCTAACTCAGTCCACTTCCCAGATTACCAGTTCCCTTGAAGTGAGTTCTGTAAATGATTTGGTTGGAAGAGAAGTTGGACTGCTGGGAGGAGCAGAAGCCCTGTTCCAGGCAAACAAAAATGCCTCTTCTAACTTTGATAATCATTGTAATGTAACAGCTAGTAAGGAGTCCACAAACAAAATGCAGGATGATAGTTTACATTCACCCAAATCAAAAAATCAGACAATTAATGAGGAACTACGGGCAAGTAAGGGACAATATTGCTGTAATCATCACATGGACAGTCACTCAGAGCTAGCATCGGATGTCCAGATACTTCATTCTAGTACCACTACATTTCAGCAGCAAGCAGATCAGCATACAGGTAGTGTAAATACAGATAGTGATCCAAGAAAAAATGATACACAGAAAGTTGTGGCAGCTGTAGAAAGAGAGCAAAATCCACAGAACTTTCTTGTTACTGCTCTTTTACCTTTTAATGAACAGATGCCTGCTTCGCTTAGCATGGAACCCAGAGGAGAAAAATGCATAGCCACAGGTAACATAACTGCTTCAGTGTCATCTATTAAAAATGATGAAGATATAATCATGGGCAAGGGGACTTGTAATGAAGAACTGAGTGAGTCAGGGAAACCAGTGCATGTACAAAATGATCACCAATTAATCCTTGTGGAGAATTCTAAAGAGACTGCCACACCGAGGACTGGTTTACCTTGTCTAGAAACTGAGGGTGTGGAAACAATGAAGGTTTCATCTGAAGTCGCAGTGGAAAACCTTGCCAATGTATTATCATGCATACATGGATGTGAGAATGTGAAATCTAACTTCGGTGAGCTGACAGCACCTCTCTCTATTACTTACCAGCCATCTTTTGAAACTGGAGGCTATTGTTCAGCTTCTCTTCATCCTAGTTGCAAGACTGAAAATATAACTATAGGAAAAAGAGCAGTCAGTTTAAAAGATGTGAGAGAGGCTGTTTCTTGTCCTAATATTGAATGTGAGAAGAGCAAATCCTTTGAGCCTGTAGAAATGAGCCTCTCAGAAAGCTCAGTTCCTGTCCACAGCCATGGTCCTGTTTCCCTTGAAGCTGTTCAAGACGTTCCTGCCAAGGCAGTAGTTGTACTCACAGAAGATAACGAAGCAAAGCCTTCACCTTGCCCTTTAATGAGCATTAACAGGACACATGATCATACTCTTGCTGCTTCTAAAACTGACAAAGCTGGTGTGACAGAGGTTGCTCTTGTTCCTTCTGAGTGTCAAGATTGCTTCTCGGAACTTTCCTCTCATATTTCAAAGTCACAAGAAAACATTCTGGAGGTTTCTCATTCTGCCTTTAGATACAGAAAAAGTCCTTTGACCAACTATTCTGCTTTCATCTGTGAAAAAGATGTTGATATAGACATCATTTCTGAACCTCCACCTGTTTCTGAAGATAGGCATATTAATTTTTCTTCCAAGAAGAAAAACAATAATAAGCCTAGGATATTACCTACAGTACTTGATTCTTCATCTGACAACCAAAAAAAAATGCCCTCTCCTGCCACTAACTCTGGAACTGGACAGATTGCTAGATGGTCTTCTGCTTCTGAATGGGACAGCTTTATTTTTCCTGCTGCTGAGTTTAAGAGAATAATCCCTGAGGACAGAATGACCAAGGTGCCATGTTGCTCAGGGGACTCAAGAGCTTCATGCCCGGCTGGTTCTCTGGAACCTGAGCTTACTCCAGCTACGCTTGATTGCTCTGCTGCTGGAGTAGATGTGAGGAGTGTTTGCATGCCCAGACCCTCTTCATCTACTCTGGGGTCCAGAGAAGCCTCCAACCTTTCCATTTTGGCCTTGGAAATGTTGGGTATTGCTCAGGGGAATGGTTATTCCTCCAGTCACGGAGCTGGCGATGGGGCAGAGGAGGCCTCCTCCACACAACAGTCTGATGACAGTGTCTTGGCAGAGGCAGGGCTGTCACCCATCTGTCCTTTGAAATCTTTGGAAATGGCATCTGAGTCAGCCTGTACCGAGAGTGTGTGCAGAAACGCTGTGGGACAGGTGAATCTTGGTAACCATGCTTCTGCCATCTCAGAAGCCCCTTCTCTGACAGGTGATCAAACAGCTGCTGCACCTACAGAGTCAAATGGGCTCTGTTCTAAGGAAGTACAGGAAGATACCAACGTGAAGGGACAAGAACACACCAGATTCCAAGATGCTGCTATTTTGTTTAAGAAAGCTGAGGAAATAGTGGACTCAGTTTTACGCTTGGCTATAGAAGAAATAATAGCAAACCAAGCCATTGGTGTCTGCCAGCTTTGTGGGAGCAAGGATGGTTTAATAAATACAGATACTCTAAATGGCCAGAAAGCTGGAACTGTACAGCTGGAAGCAGAAGAAATCCAGTCAGCTGTGCAGTCATTAAAACATTTTAATGAGAGCAGCGGAAGAGACTCATCTTCATTTACAGGAAATGAAACAGTGGATACAAATAATCAAGATAAAAAGATACTGTCTTATATCCCTGATAAAATTGACCTACATAATGCACTAGCACTAAAAGCAAAGGAAATAATTGATGAAGTCATTAACTCTGCCAAACAAAAGCTGGCATCCAGTCAGTGGCAAGGCAGTGAGAGTAAAAGGCCTTCTGAAAAGTTTGAACCTAAACCTAAGGCTGAAACCCCAAAGATTTTAAACCTGGATATAAAGTTACTTGACAAAACACACGGAGCAACAGAGAAGGTGGAAGCTCAGAGTGTAGCTGTAAACTGTCACAAGGCAGATTGCTCAGGTCCTCCTTTACTTCCAAGTAGTGTGGAAAATGGCATAGATTGGCCCCAAAGAGATGAAAAGATACCAAATAATGCATTTATATGTCAAACAAATGGATTTCTACCTCCTGGTAGTTCAGTAAGGCCAGAATCAGATCTTATGACACCAGCAAAAGAGAGACACAGTCAGGAGGTGTGTGAACATCTGTCTGCAGCAGAGACGTGTGGCAAAGCTGGAGTATCAGCAACTAGTAGAAAATCTGATAGATCTTTACGTTTAGTACATAGAGATGCTACTGTAACTAGAGAAACACTTCTGTCACTGCAGTTAAAAGATTCATGCAGTAATACAAATGTGCCAGAGTGCACGTTGCTGCCAGCTGTAGATGTTAATTTGTCATCTTTTTTGCCTGATGAAGAATGTATCAGCATCCAGAGTGAATCCAAAGATAAAAGCAGTCCTCAGGGGTCTATGGAAAGCAGTGCAGAGGACAGTCTGAACGAACACTGTGGAAGAGAAGCTGCAGAAGAAGTACCTGCACGAGTAAAAGCAACCTTAGAAGATTCAAAGGCAGTGGAGAGTAAAGAGGAACTTGTAGGAGGTGCAAGCAGGATAGCAGAGGTTAACACTGAATTAACCACACAGTTCATTGTACCTGAATTGTCTGTTACTGGAGAGGACAACGAAGGGAAAAACTGCTTCAACACACTCTTTGCCCAAAATAATGAGGATCTGAAGCAGGTACAAATGAAAGATCAAGAGAGGAAGAGTAATTATCAGCTTGAAGAAAATAGTCTGGGCTGCAGTGATGACGTGAAGGAACCGACACATCTTTTGGCATTTTCTCCACTAATTGAACAGTGGGAAAACAGTTCTTTTACTATCATTTATGAAGGTGCCCTTCAAACTGAGAACAAATCTGTCTCAACTGATGATATGCAAACTCATTCACTTTCTTCTTCTGATTGGCCTTCAGATGATCTAGATCATCTAATGTGTGGAAGAGCAAAGAATAAACATGAGCCAGCCTGTCTTTATGGGATGGATAACAAGTTGAATGAAGCCACAGAGAGCCGAAGCTCAGAGTCGTTTCTGAGTGTGGAGGCCAAGCGCTATAGAGTATATCCTTTCTCTTTGTCTCCAATATACGAAGACGACAGCTCCCAAGAAGACTTGCTTTCCACAGACGTGTCACCAGAAGGCCATCCTAGTGGAATATCTAAAGATAACACTGATCATGCCTCTGTGCTTTCCCTTCTCCAGTCTGTTTCTGAGCGCTTACAGTTTACTACTCAGTTCAGTGAAGAGGAGGAGGAGGAGGAGGGAGTGGAGGATGAGGAGGAAGAAGAATCATTTTATGAAGAAAACTTGCCTGATGTTGAGAGAGAAGATGACTGCCTGTCTAGTCAGTGGAGAGGGAATTTAAAAACAGCCCTTCAATCAAATGACCAAAATAGAACTTTGTGTCCTGAACAATCACTTTTTCTTTCAGAAGAACAACTTGACTCTCAGGAGCAAACAGAACTGTTTCCAGATGCAGCTTCTCCCAGTCAAACACCTTGTAAGCCAGTTTCACAGAAAGCTGATGCTGCTTTAAAGCATCCTCCTACCAGTGTGTACTACCAGTATTTGAAATCTGCCAGCAATTGCTTTTCTGAGAAGGGGACCAGATTTGGAAGCCTTCTCCAGGATATGATGCAGCCAAAGATTCATTGGTCTCAAGACAACACCATGCAAAAACTGGGAGAACTGTCAGCGGTAAGATTTTGTGTCACATAATCTTAGTAATCAAAGTGATTAGCCCGGATTCAAAATTGCTGCCTACCTATTCCCCTTCCTCCCTTTTTAAGATTAATTCTTTTATCTTAAACAAAAGGAATTAGGAGGTTTAAGATCATAGGGTTTGGGGGGTTTTTTTAAGTCTTCTGATAAAATAATTTTTAAAACATAAAATTCTTGGTTCAACACACAGATGAAAATTACTTAATTGTAAAACAGAACATGTGAACAAAAAATGTATTAGGAAAATATGCATAATAGCAAGTCTGGATAATAGCAAAACACAGACTTGTCTGTGTTAAGGACACTTCAACCTGAAGTGGAATTGGAATTGCCTTTTGTATGAAAATTTTTCTTTCATTTCTTCTGCTTCTGAGATTAGCAGAGCTGTATTGTCCCAAAAATATAAATATCTGCTTATTGAGCTATTTGATTATTTCATCACAGAATCTTCTACAAATTGTAACTCAGCTAGCAAGTAAGTAATACAGCTGCTTCCATAGATTAGCATTTCTGTTTTAGTTTATTTAAAGCAATGGCAGATGAGGCTGTGGAAACAGTTCCTCCAGTATGTGGAAATTGAAAAGTCCACATAGACGAATGCCTAACTGAAGAAGAAAGTCTTTTCATGATGTTGGGAATATTTCAGTCTGTGCTAGAGGTCGGTTTTGGTTTTGCCACGGCTAAGTCACGCAGTTTATTGTTTGCTGGGAAAGGGCGATACGTTTCCCTAAGTTATAGCTTCCATAATAACTCTTCCTTTCTAGCACTTGCTGTTTTCTGCTAATTGTTTGATTCTATTAAACTATTTACACCTACTCTGAATGACCATGAAACAAATCTTGGTCTTTTCTGCTAATGAGGGTTGCATACATTAATAGGAATAATGGACCCAGAATAATCTGTTTGTGCTTTGTGCTACTGTTGTAGATGTTAATAGTTGTTTTCCATGTCCTTTTAATTTCAGAACCTTGTTGACAGGGCAAGTCTCAAATACAATCCAAGACCAGGAAAGGTAAGTAGAATTAGGGTCAAATCAGTATGATACATGGAATAATTTGTTATACCAGATTTTTTGAACGGAAAGCATCTGAAGTTGTTAGTTTAGTTTTCTGTATTTTAATGGTGCATATGCTTGCTCATGCTACTAATGATGCTATATTATTAAAAATCCTACTACTAGTAATTTTACTATATTTCTGTCAGCAACTGCTGTTTTAGTTCAGTAGCATGTTTCATAAAAGATGTGTAGCACAACAGTTGAGTGGACACAAAGCGAAATAGGTTTTATTCCAAGCAAAAAATACCTGTCTACGCTGTATGTTGAAATGGGCCCTCATTCATATGCATTGTATGTTGTTTCAGATCATCATTTATGATATTTATGGTGACAAAAGTAAACAAGAAGTTCATTCTGACGTGCTAGATGCCACATCCTGGATCTTTCCCATTGGAGCATTATTTAGGATAATTAGAGGATGGTAAGAAATCCAGGTCATATTTAGATAGTCTTTCCAAAAGACTCTATGTGTTTCTCTTGTTTTATTTTTTTTTATTTATATCATGTTTGATCTGCAAGAGTGTCTTTTTATTTCTCTATAATTAGACTGATACCAATGAAAAAAGCATGAAACAAGGCTTAAAATGCTGCAATTAGTTTCAAACAGAAAGTTCCTAATAGAACCACAAGTAAGTTAAGACTTCTTGCCTGAAGTGCTGAGACAGTACAGCCATAATCATCACTAGAAGCAAGCGTGTGCCAAAGAAAACATTTATTTTCCAGTTCAGTTTCATTATACAGTCGCTGTTGCAAAAGGACCATAAAATGAACAATCTCAACTGCTGTTTATAATATAGCATTTAGAAGAATGTGGGAGCAGGAGGCTATAAAAGTACCTTTGAGGCAGATTTTGCAAGTGTTTCTCAGTTAGCTTTGGGAAGCTGGGGGTGGGACCATGTCATTTGTTACATTGGAATTTAATTGGTGGCACTTACAGTGAATGTTTCTGACTGTCAACCATAGTAACAATGCATGTCACATTTATGTAGTTTTGAGGCAGCCTTGTTTGGTTTTGCACACATTTCTTTCACATCCTAAGGAATACCGAATGCATTATTAGCAAGTGTATGTTTTATCCCTTGCATAGTATCTGTCTGAACAAGACATGTTTTGATGTGTCAATTAATATATTTGTTCTGATGATATAAGGCTTTTTATTTGCATTGTGTTTTACCTGTATTTTTATGCAGTTAATGTTTTAAGTTATGTTAGGCTACATCCTGGAGGAGAACTGTGTATCTTACTGTTAAAGCACAGAAATACAAGCCCAGTATTTATCTGAAGTGAATGTGACTTCTGAGGGACAACATAAGGAGGGACTGATGGTTGGCTTGATAAGAAGAGCTCATTACTGAGCTTTCCAGCAAATGTGCTGTATAAGGACAGTCATGCCTAACAGCAACAATTCACTCCATCATATCATTATTACAGTTGGATTTTTTATGAGAAACCAAAGTTCCAGGGACGGAAATATGTACTAGAAGAAGGGGAGACTGTGCTGGATCACCTTTGGGATCTTCCAGGTGTGAAATATCGTCGAAGAAACCTCACAGTTGGTTCAATCAAACATGTAACAAAGGTATAGACTTTGTTAATAATATGCTCACTTACATAATTAATTTCTGTTGGCAATAGTGGTGTGTTACTAGCGATGGACAATGTGTGCATGTTGTGTTTCTGATTTTACTCAGATTTGCTATGAATTGCATTTTTCACCTTCAAGATAAATTCTAAGGCTTTTGCTGTGCTAAATTTCCTTATCTTCCTGAAGATAATGATAGAATAGTTTGGGCTGGAAGGGACCTTTAAAGCTCATCTAGTCCAACCCCCCTGCAGTGAGCAGGGACATCTTCAACTAGCCCAGGTTGCTCAGAGCCCCATCCAACCTGACCTTGAATGCTTCCAGGGATGTGGCTTCTACCACTTCTTTGGGCAACCTGTTCCAGTGTTTCACCACCATCATTGTAAAAAATTTCTTCCTTATATCTCATCTAAATCTCCCGTCTTTTAATTTAAAACCATCACCCCTTGTCTTATCGCTACAGGCCCTGCTAAAAAGTCTGTCCCTGTCTTTCTTATAGGCTCCTTTTAAATATTGAAAAGCTGCATTGCCACCACCTTTATCTGACACAGGGACTCCCCTCCTTTTAGATGTTTACCTGTCAATTAATTGAAATTAAATTGAATCAGTTCATATTTTTCAAATAAGTGTTTATCTTAAGCTTAAACTTTCTACAGTGTCTGTATGGCTCCTGTTTCAGAAGTTAGTAGTTGGGTTTCCAATCCCATTTATACAGTGTAGCCTCCAAAAATTACTGTGGCTCTCTCTACAGCTTTGTGGCATCTGTAGGGCTTCCACATGGACAAGTGGTACACCTACAGCATCCAACTGTACAGCCAGAAATTTAAAAGGCATTTTGTTGAAAAGATAGGAATCAAATGCCTAGAACTAAATATAATGCATCCATTGTTACTCAGTGAATGAGGAATACATTTACCAGATCTTGTGATTCAAGAAGACTTAGTGCTCTTGTTGTTTAGCGTAACATTTGAGTTATTCACAGGGCAATGGCCCTTTACTGTGAGTGAATTATCATTTGTATTGCAATGTGAAAATTTTTCAGAAAAAGCAGTGTTTCTCTGCTGCTATAGAGGTCATTTAAAAATTGATAACCTTTTTGTCATCAGGACAGGAGCATAATGTTGTAACAATTAGAAATACTTTTTAATTCTCTTAAAGACTTAACAATAAATAAACTAATTCAAAGGAGGCTGACTGAGGGCATGAATAATGATGTTAACGTTTATTTGAGATAAACAAGTTAAAAGCATTTGGCCTATATGGAATATGAATGTTGATCAATAATGTGGAAGGCAGCTAAATAATTAAAGAAATGCCACAATAACATGTGGAACTATGGTCTGAAAATGAGGGAAGCTGGGTGTGTCTTGGGTATCAAAGAAAAGCCTTGGATGGGAAAGACACTGTGGTTAGCTTCATCAGGCTTGATGGAAATCTTTGTAATGCAGCTAAGTAGGTTTGAGCATTGTTCTTCTTCCAGTATGTGGTTCATTTGTATGGAACACAGATGAAAAGCTTTATTACAGTACACTGGTTCAATAATCAACACTCCTCATGTAACTTAAAACTCTCAAAACTCTTAACAGATATGGTTGGTTGGGAGGAATTTTTCTGTTAGTCCATAGGGCTGTGTGGAGCTAGCGTGGGTGTGGAACTTTCTAAGCCAGGTTTTGTCCTCTAAACCTTGATTCCTGAAACTGAAAGCATCCCTCTTTTTTAGGTTGTACTTCAGCTGCTGTGGAACCACTTTTAGAAGGTAGTTTACCAAATGCTACCTTTTTTTTTTTTTTTTTTTTTTTTTTTTTTTGGGTGAAAAATGTAGGCGTTGTTTTTAATTGACAAATAGCTCTTTCTTTTTCAGGCAGCTGGCGTGTACGTGATCTGTAGGATCACATGTTTTATTGTCATTCTCTCTTTCATAGGCTGGGTAGCTCCATGGCTTTTCTTCTGCCTAGTTTGGTCATACTGGCTATGCGTCCAGATTGTCTTGTATGGACTTCTTCTTCTTAAAGTGGCTTTTTATGGTGCTTGTTTAATGGCTGCTCAGATGTCTTGAGTTAGCAGAATTGAAAATTGGCTAAATATTTGAGAAGAAACTTACTTGCCAAGAAGAGAAAACAGATGTTTACTAAAGAAACTGTAGGAGGTAAATTTATTTTTATTTTTCACTGGTAGATGTTAGTTTGCTGAGAAACAGTCTGCCGGTAGCTTCGTGCTCTGATTTGGCTTCAAGCTTCTACAAAAAGCAAAGGTCCTGTTAGCTTTGTGGTTAGCCTGTGGCTTGACTTACTGCGGATACACATTGGATGTATCCATGTGTGTTTAATTTGGAGGAACTTAGGAGGGGGGAAAAAAGATCCCAAAGGAACAGATCATGCAACTAGTAAAATTAAGAGCTATTTAAAGTAACGGGGAGTCTGAATTCCACTAAGGCAAGTCCACATGAGCCTAGGCTAGCAAAATCTGCCTGCACAGGCAGCTTCAGTGCAGCTCCTACAGCACAATCTGTTCAGCCAAGTCAGTTCTCTGGTCTACTGCAAATGCATGTATTGATCTTATGGAATTGTAGGGCTTTTTCTGTCTGTTTCTGGAAGCCCAGAGAGGGTGCTAAATGTTACTTTCCAAAACAAGAGCTGAGAAGAGTTGCTGATGTTTCCATTCTGGAGTAATCTTGTAAACCACTATTTTGCAAGGTGACAGGAGATCTGAAACAGCAGTTTGTAATCTCCATCTGCAGGATGGTTAGGCAGGGAATAACTGGATTCCTTGTGGACTCTCCTTAAGCAAAGCTCTTTGTAATGGGAATGCTCACAGTATTATGTGAAGGGCGTGCCACTTTTGTTTGTGTGGTTTGCTAGGTGAGAAGTTATTCATTCAAGCAGGGACTACTTTGTCAGAGGCCATAGGAAGACATCCAGCAGCTTCAGGTTGTCTCATTTGTTTGTTGGTATTTTTACAAGACAGTAATCATTAATTTCTATAACATTAAGTTATTTTAGTGCCAGCCCTGTTGAGTTCTCTAGCTTGTTTTGGTGGTGATGGGTGGTAGCAAGAGTGGTACAGGGCAGGAGAACTAGGAGAAAGAATTATGAATGGGTAAAAAAGGCTGGAGGACCAACAGGGAAAAATACTGCAGAAGCTGCCGTGTCCTAAGGACAAACTGTGTATCAAAGTAAGACGTGTGTCTAGACTATATTAAAAAGCAGTTGTGTGAATACCAGAACTAATTAGGCCTGGTTTTCAATAGACACTTCTCTCATCATTGTTTTGGCATTTAGCTTAAGAAGCCAGACTTTAGTCATTCTTTGTCCTGTTGTTGACATAAAAGGCTGCCTCATTTAAATAGGCTATTTCAGGCACTTCAGTCACCACAGCTTACAGCTCCAAGGAGAAAACCTAACAGTGATGAAATTAGCCCTGCTGATGGTGTAACCCTAGATCCAGAAGAAGGATAAACAGCCAAGACCACCTTGAGGAGCTTTTGGTCAGACTGGAAAAATGTTAGAGATGGCACAAAAGAGTAATATTTAAGGCTAAGGTCTTGAGGGTGATCTTAACCCTCTTCAGAAGAAGCCTTAACCTTTCTGCTGAGGGACGTGTTGCTGTTTTGGAAGTGTTTGTTCTCTGTGAGCTAGCAAGGGTATACCCCATGCTTTCGAAAACATCTTTCCTCCTAAAAGACCATGAGGGAAGGACAGGCGCTGCAGGATGACTGTGTGGAGGTAGGAGGGGAATACCTCAGAGTAAAGGAAGACAGAGTGGGATGCCTGGAGGCTGTGATCTACCTAAGCATTTGCTGGTTGTGTATTATCATTGGAAATGAACACAACCACCTACTCTGTTGGCTGTGCTTTTTATTCTGTTTTTGCCTGACATGTCAGTAAGATAATGAATATGGCATGAGTTTTGACTGCTTGTGATGGGGGTGGCAAGGCCAAAGGGGGGTATAGGGTAGAAACTTTCCAGTTTGGGATGTGGCTCAAAACACTGTGGGTAATAGTTGTTTTGCATGTGGGTATCCTAATTTGAAAATCTTGACGCCTTGCAAATGAAAGGGCTTTGAACTGAAGGGTCTCGTTCTCAAGCTGAACACTGTCATATTTGTGTGGTTTTCATTTTGTTTCTAAAGATGGTGGCTTTATTAGGAATTGTTAAAGAAGCCTCTGAAAGTAATGATATCTATTAAGTATGCTCAGGCAAATAGGAACATGCTAGGGCAGATATTTACCAAGCTAAAGTTTACATGCTTAAATTACACAAATTAATGGCATAGTACTTGAGTGTCCATCTGCAAATACAGTGTTCACCTCATGCAGTAATACTAAATTTTACCATTTTCTGCAGTCTGTGAATTTATATATGTAAATTGAACTCAGTATTTAAGTCAAAATGTAATTTGTGATTTTTTTAAAAATGTGCTCAGAAAATATAATGTACTTCTTGCTCAAATATTATTACCTTTAAAAACAGATAAAAATAGATTGCTTTACTATATGACATTTCATGAAAGGACTTTGTGGACCTAATCTAGTACACACAAACATACCATTGCAGTGAGTAGAGGTTTTCTATGACTGTCAAAATCTGGCTGGAGAGAGATAGTGATAAATAGGAGAGATTTTATTATGAGTGCTTGTGCTTTACCTCCCCTTTGAAGAACTGCTGCATTCTTCATCTGTTGAGGTAGAGCTTGCCTCATGAGCTTCAGAGTCAGGAAAACAGACTTGAAAAGAGGATAAGGACTGGCTTTTTCCAGTCTTCAAATGAAAAATAACCACCCTACCTCCTACTGAATTAAAATTAAACATTCTCAGTCTCATATTCTGTCTGAGCCCGCAGGCAAAAATACTTTATTTTGCTACTTGTCTAGTCTTGTAGATGCTTTGTTTCAGGATTTATCTGGAACCATTAAGTCTATCATCATTACTTATGGAATTCTTATAGGTGCAACTTCTGATTTTCCGTATCAAGCTTTATTGTTGGATTCACAGATTTCAGCTTGCTCACGTATCAGGTATTATTAGGGAAAAAAAACAAACAAAACAAACAAAAAAGCCCCTCAAATATTGCTTAACTGTGATTTAATAAGATACATATACATGTGAAAAAAACTTAATAAACCTTTTTTTTTAAAAAAACTTATCTAGCAGTACACTTAGAATTGAGAAATGGTGTTCCTTAGCCCTTTGCCATAAAGTAACATTGTACTGAAGGTCTTTTCCCTATTTCTTTTTTGGTTTCGCTCATCTGAAAATAAAAATTCTGATATTGCAGTTTTTGTTCTGAAAACAAATAATGTGCATTGTTTAGAAGGTACAATACAGAGGAAACATGATTGTGTATGAGGGAGAGTTGCCAAAACAGTATACTGTGTTACTCAGGTCTCATGAGAAAAGTGAAATAGTATCCTGAAGTCCATCTATTACAGTTGCCACATTTTTTGCTGACAGTTAAATAGCTACTGGAAGAACTTTGCTAGCCAAGAAGGGGGAAGTTTCTAGGTGGGATGTTACTGCATCATTTGAAAGCTCCACTCAAAACCTATGTGAAAAGGGAGAACAAGCAGGTGGTGTCATGAGATGAGGTGCTGTAACTGTAGGAGCTTTTGTGCCCTGGATGTGTTCCTCTGCAAGCTCTTGTGTTTTGCCTTTTGGGCAAATAGAATATTTATTATTTAGAATAAATGTGTTTTGCCTTTTGGGCTTCTAATAGAAACCACAGGCTGTGTGGGATCTCTGTCGTGATGTCACCATGCCTGGGCCCTCCACAAATCCAGTAAGCAGGCGCTTTTCTTGAGGACACCCTCAGGGTCAGCTTCTCATCCCTCTTCTCTATTACACATGGAAGGGGCATCTTCTTCCAGCCACATTTAGGGCTTTCAGAGTGTCTTTATGCTGTCCTAGCCTTTTGGCCTAATGCAAATAGACCTGTGGGTCAGGAGGATAAGGGAAAGGGTGCTGTGAAGTTACTGGTGAGAACTGAAGGTTTCCAGCTACAGCTGAGCAAACTCTGTAAGCACATGAGCTGCTTTCCCTCTAACAGGAAGACCTTTCTGTAATGCACTGTTGAAACAGGGCCTTCTGGAAGATCCTCATTGATTCGTTACATGGTTGAATGCTGGGAAATAAAGTAATGGCAATGCATTTTATATAAATATTACGAAATTACTGTGGTTCAATAAAATCCCTGTAAATTCTAGAGAAGATCCTGTGTTCAACAGGTTGTTCTCCAGCATGGTATCTATCACTAGAACTCTTCAGTAAGATAACACATGTTGTTGCTTTGTAGTAACAGAAAAATTGCTGAAGTATCTACTTAACTAAACAAATATTTTCCAGTACTGTTCTTTTTTCTTTCTTTGTCTAAAACGCTATAGATTTATTTAACAAGACAGAAAATTGAACTTGTACGGCTTGAAACTGTAGTCTGCTGCATTATGGAATCTAATTATCACTGAGTGGGGGAAGTGGGAAGGAAGTACTAGATGTTTCTAGAAATTTTTAGTTATGCATGCATCATATGTATCAGTATGTGTGTTATGGAAGCACTGTCTCAGAAAAAAAGTCAGCAGTATTATATGCATGGTTTGTCCATCAGTAAATATTGTCAGATCCTTTACTTGGAGAGTATTTGAACAGCTTTTTGAAGGTAGCCCAACAGGCATAAATACGTAGCTTATCTTTGGAAGTTAACAGGAGCTGGAAATTTCCTTCCATTAGCTTTTCTAAAAATCCCAGTATTCATTTTAAACCCTTCCATCATAGGAAGTCTGGTGTTAGATTAGAAGGATGAGAAGACAGGGAAAAGAGAAGGAAAGGTCCTTCCTCTGCCATGATGGGGCAGACTCTGCAGGCGTGGATAAGCCTTACCCTTTGATTTGTCTCCACAGGACTGTGGTGTTCCAGAGTTAGAATTCTGTTCTGGAGCCAGCACAGAGGGACTTCCTATCTCCATACAGAGTGCAGTTGCCAATTTAGAAGAACTGGATGTTGAGAAAAACCCTTATATAAGTGTCAAATCGGGAGTGTGAGTACTGAACCTTTTTAATTACATTTTGACAGCAGGTAGAAGTAACATCATGGGATGAAAGTCAGCCAGTGATAGGAACAATATTTGAGAGTTTTTGCTACAAATCAGTTAACATACACTAGGTATTCTGAGATACATAATTCAGCATTGTGGGCTCCTAGCAGTGGAACTAAATTTTTGAAGGCATTTTTCATCTAGTTGCTGTCAGAAGTCTTCTGTAATTCCATATTTGAGTAGCTTTATAAATAGAAGCAACTCAGCTATAATTAACTGTTAGTTCATTGGAGAATGGATATTGTCTCCCTAATCACCCACCCTGTTATAACACTATGGCTCAATACCAGAAAATGAGTATTACATCATCCAAGCATTCCTCAAGCTACAGCCATATCCTGACTTTCTGGAGAGAGGTGATGCAAGATGATACAGGCCCCTTGGTAGCCCAGGATTTCCTGTATTGAGCAGAATAGTCTGTTTCCTGGGTAAATAGCCAACACTTCACAGTTCCTAAAGTTTGGGAGTTCTGTGCCTCTTCTCATAGATTATTGCAGAATGACATTAGCTATTCTGTTAAGAGAGTCTTGAGTTTGCCCTTCCATGTAAGCAAAGCCTTCCTTCCTATGATCTCACCATATGCATGTGAAGCTTGAGGTGATGAAAGAATGAAAAATGAAGTTTTGTCTTAGTTACAATAGAACTTAGTGTAACTTTTAACTGCTTACAGTTTTGTGTGTAGTTTTAAGAAAGTAATTTTTCATATGGCTCAATGCCTCTTCTTCCATTCCTTATTTGGTCTACTAACCCTGTGTCCAGCTTCTGCATTCAGCTTTCTTTCTGATTTAAAACAGTCTGAAGGAGTCTCAGCATTTTTAATCTTCACATTAAAATTAAAATAGTCTGCTTTCCAAAGGAGTGTTTTAATTGATTGTATTTTAATAATTTCCACTGAAAAAAAATGAGTGAGATTAATGTTAGAAGCCTTTTAATTCCTGAGGTGGGAATCCTAGGTAAAATTTTATACAAGTGTCTCATGCTCAATACTGGCGTTGGTTTTGTATACTCGTAGTGTAAGAAACTGGCTTCTTAAAGTGAATGAAGAAGCTGGCAATTTTCTGCTCTTTCATTCATGTTTACCTTGGATTGAGAAAAAGTATCTGAGATCATTTTAGCATTGATGTTGCCAGTGTATTTAAATAGAGCATGGTTTTGATGTACTGACAGTATCTATAACACATTGGCTAGCTCTGATGAGTACAAAAAGAATAATAATTTTAATAAGATCATTGTATTTGTAATGATGAACTTAATAAGTCCTTTATCCTTATTGTTATAGATGGCTTGCTTATTCAGACTTTAATTACAAGGGAGAGATGAAGGTTTTGGAAGAATGCAATTTACCAACTGAAATTCCTTCAGCAGATGTGAAATCTCTGCGTCCCTTAAAAATGGTGAGGACTTCATGATTCCCTAATAGATCAAGTGCCTTCCTTTTCCTAAAACTTTAAGTTTTAGATAAATAACTTCTTTTTTTTTTCCCCATCTTTTTTAGGGTGGTTTAAAGGTACAGATGCCAGTGAATGTCAAGGTAAGCACTGAGGACACTGAGAATAAAATTTAAGGACACTGGAAATATAAAAACTTTATTTAGGCTGTTTTGTTGAGTATGTGATGTTTGATTAAGTATTCAACGCATGCTGCTGAAGGAAAATTCACTAATGCTGTCAAGTCCACTTTCTTACTGGTGTTTCATGAGATGTAAAAGTAGTAGTAGTTTGGTTTTTACATATTAGAAGAATGTGAATTTGCTATAGAAGAATCGTAAAGCTTTTACAACATAAAATGAGTTTTCATGACGTGACACATCAGCCACCGTAATGGAAAGAGCTCAGGAGAAATTTTCCCATTTAGCATACCAAGGTGGGGGTTTTTTTGTTGTTGTTTTTTTTTTTTTAAAGAGAGGTGGTGGTGGTGGGGAGGAAGGAGGCAGGAATAGGATCCTTCCTTTCTATACCTGATCCCAATACAAGAGTCATGAGTGAGACCATGACCCTTCTGTGATTTGAGGAAGAAAAAGCTAATTCAGAATTATTGCTCCTTTTCCCTCCTTTTTCTAGTTCTCCACAAAAATGCTAATGCTTTAGGTCACTTTTAATTATATAAATACATACAAGACTCAGGAGTTTTTCTAATAAGTATTGCAAAAAATATTAATACTGCTAATAGCTGATCTGTGTGGTTTGGCAGATGAGGAACCCAGAGAGTGTGTTAACTGCAGTTACTGAAATAACTTCAGCAAAGTACAGAGAAAGACCTCTTGTCTGCTTTTGAGGGGTCAAGCTCAGTGTGTCTAGCTGTGACCGGGTAGGATTATGTACACTGCCCAGACGTAGGATTACAGGATATGTAGCTGCAGAGTGCATTTGTGTACATAGAATTGTGCAACTAAGTATCCTTCTGTGAAAATGTCTGTAAATAGCCTGACAAGCCTATCTATATCCAAATAAGGTCTCTTCAGCTTCTAGGGTGCTCAAGAATGAGAAGAGCTGAGGAATGCAACCCTGAATTTTCTTCATAGTGGTGGCTTGCTGAAAAAAGGTGTCTTCCACATACTGGAAACAGAACACGCACACAAACTTCCAATTACTATTCAGGACCTACTCAATGCATTGTTCCAACGTTATGTTTTTTAGATAATAATATATGAGAGAACCCACTTTGAAGGACGGTCTAAAGAGTTTTCAGAAAACATCAGTTCTGTCCCAGCTCTGCTTGGTAGTGAAGAGGAGTTTCAGGAAATTGGATCAATACGTGTAATTGGTGGAGTGTAAGTGTATTTCACTTTTATATTTATTTACTTTAAAATAGGAAATCTTAACTAAATGCTAAAAAATGCTAACTAAGGGGTGATTAGAATCTCTCACTGGTAAAATATTTTTAAAAGAAAGGAATATATATATTTCTCTTGTCAGTTGTCAACCTTGGATAAAAAAACCTCTCTGTCTAGCTTATCTATCCAAGAGAATAGAGGAAGGTAAAACTAAGTGTGTGAGAGGTGTGAAGTCAGTGTTTGCCATCTGTATGCAAATAAACTAGGCCACTTTGTTCCTTAATGACAGCATTTACACAGAGCTTTTATTTTTATTGCTTTATACTTCTGAGAGTCTCTGTTTAGTTTATTGAAATGGCCTTAGGTAGGAGTGGCCAGTCTTCAATTTGACATTTTAGTGCCTCTGAACAAACTGTTTTATTGTCTTAATGGTTTTCCTTTGCTGCCTGTTGCATGTTATCTGGAATTAAGAATCTGCCCTTATTTTCCTTCCTTGAGGCCCTGGATTGATTATGGGTTGCCCTGTCCCTCTCTCTGTCATACACAAGCACAGAAAGGGCTGCGTAACACAGTCCTTAGGTGGACTGCTCATGAGGTCCAGCTATTCTAGAGAGCTACCAACCCCATGCTTGTTCTTTTAAGCCTCTGCCAAGACTCAACAGGATAGGACTGTTCAAAAGCATGCAAGATGGTTGGTTCTGCCAAAGAGCTTAGCAATAAACTAGTTTTCAGAAACTTTTGTTTTTTCTTAGAGGATTTCAATGTTAATACTTCGATGTAAAGATTCAATAACATACATCCCTTCAAGCTGTTGTCAGAATCTTACAAGCACTAAATTCAAAATAAACATAATTGTGAATACTCAAATAAATCTGTTCATAAGTACATTATGTATTAGCTGTCTGGGAAGCCTCAAATTACTAAAAATAATCCTTCCTTCTGTTGTGGTGGCTTTTATTTTTAATACTGTGGTAACTTAAACAGCTGAATTAATGTAAACCAAATGGTACTAAAAGTAAAGCTATCCCTGCCTGCCAAATTTCAATGCTGGCAGAATTTGCACAGCAGTTCTAATACTTACAAGGGAGTTTTAATGAAAGAAATGCCTACAAGAAAGAAAGGAGGAGAGGGAAGCACTTTTTCAAATTTATATCCACTAGAGCTTTCAAAGTTGATGTGGAAATGCCTCGTTTTAATTGAGCCTTATCTATTTGTTCAAAATACTTTAAAAAGTTCTGTTCCCTTAGTGCTAAAATATATTCAACATGCAATGTATTGTATATATTCAATTCACTTGTCTATTCATATATATGTTTGTAAATGACAGCAGGAAGCAATATAAGTGGGTGAAATTTTATTCTGCAGAAATCTATTAATTTTGTAACTAGCTCCAGCAAGGGTAGAATCTCGTCATTTATTAATACACTGAAGAGATCTACTGCTTGGTTTTTCTCATTGACAGTTGGTGGCTTACAGTGTTTTGGCCACTAGATATATACTAGCTTCAGGAGTACCAAATATTGGTGTTGGGAATATGGTTGACTGAGGGGAGGTACATGGAGAAGCATTACACAAATAAACTCTTGTTGGAGAAAGAACCACATGGTGGGATTTTGATCCACAAAGAACACTTCATGGGTGCTTGTTGTGGTTTCAAACAAGCATTGCTTTGTTTGTTAGCTGAGTCTGTGGATACTCATCTTGGTGTTCTTAGGATGTTCTCTTCCCTTTTTATTTGTTGTGGAAAGTCATGTGTGCAGTTGTTCTGCTTTTAGTTATTTCTCTTTATTTTGTTGGGTGGTTGCTGTAGATGGGTTGCCTATGATAAGGAACGCTACAAAGGCCATCAGTACTTGCTGGAGGAGGGAGATTATGAAGACAGACACTCATGGGGGGGAACTGACAGTGTTCTCCTGTCTTTCCGGTTCCTTCAGGCTGTAAGTACTTTTATGAATTTCACACAAATTCTGCACAGTTCTTTGTACAAAGAGGAAGGTTATTCTTCATATATGGTACAGCTGTCTTGGGTTCAGTCATTCTGTCTTTTGCCCAAGTTCACTCTCATTTTTTTCCTGCTTTTGAAATTTAGACTGCACTGTATACATTGTAAAGCAGAAGCAGGTTCTAAACAGCCTTTGTAAAGTTCATACAAAGAATGTAACATGCAGAGTTCCTCCTCTACCTGCCAGATTTTCCAAGTATCTCAATTCTGTACTTCAAGCATTTGAATCTCTAGAACAGAATCGTCTTAAAAGTTTAACATGTGTAAATATACAGAGTAGTTCTTTATTAAAATAAAAATAGCTTTTCAAGACAGCAGCTGTTGCAAGCCTTAAAACAACATTACCCTCTGTCTCTGTGATTTTTGTGCCAGGAAATTTTGGCAGCAAAAATAATCATGGTGAAAAAATCTCTGGTACTAAAATGTGTTTAGTAGGGGCAAAGATGAAATAATAATAAAAAAGTATATCAGAGTACAGTGATGGAAGCAAAATGAGACTTTTCAATGATGGGGAAACATGGGATTAAAACTTCTTTATAATTCCCTTTGGTTTGGGGTTTTTGTTTGTTTGTTTGGGGGTTTGAGGATTTTTTTATTATAATAGGAACTCTGTGAGCTTTAAATACAGCTGCCCTGAGTGGCTCCTTTTGAGAATTAGATTGTTCACTCTGAGATTACTCAGTCTTGTATACTCAGATTACTCATCTCCTCATCTGAGGAGATGTCATATTCCAGAGCCAGGAATTTTGTGAAGTTTGAAAGAAGGCATTTTGAGCATACTCATTGTCTCAGGAGTCATTATTTAATAAATAAATAAATAAATTTAAAAAGGGAAGTTAACGTGAAACCGAAAAGACCATGCTTAGATTCACAATTTGCCATTTAGATTTTTATGAAAGGCACCTGGGGAAAGTTATATTTATAATCAGAATCTATCATGTAACTTAAAATAAAGATAAGAGTATAAACTGAATTGAAGAAAAATGTCATTTTCTAAATAATGTATTTTCAGGTTTGTGAGTAAAACAGGCAGGAATTTTCTTCTGACTCCTTGTTTTGAATGTGCAGAATCGTGTTCAGTTCCCGACTAATCTTAGTTTTTCTTTTTTTTTTCAAGCTCTACATAGGATACTTGAGTAACTTAAATTGATTTTTTTTAAAACTTCCTCTTGGCAAAGGACACAATTACAAGCTTAAAATTATGCACAGCTCTAACAGGGATGACCTTTCACATATATGCATGTACTTAATTTGACTCACACCTAGAACAGTCAGGATGCTCAAGTCATTAACATTTTAAAAACATGTATCAATTGCGCTCATATATCAACATATATCATTCAGATTGGCTTATAAATAGGTATCAGTATGTGCATATTGATAATAAAAGTGTAAGTAATACTTTTCCTCCAATTGTAGCATAACTAAAGGCAAGGAGCTCGTTGCCAATAAAATAACTAATGGCACTGGCATTTTGTTGTTCAGCTTGACCAACAGATTGACTGCCTCTCTCTGATGGGCAATGCATAGGTCAGTGTCCAGGCTTGCCATGTGCTCCCTTTGTGACTTTGTATACAATGCTTAAGGTCAGGATTTTAAAAACATTTTAGTGCCAAACTCTTGTTTTCAAGAGAACCTGGGCAAAAATCCTAAACTAGTTCTTTTCTGCAGGGTCAGATGAGAGAAGCTGTGAAGCTGGGGTTTGCCCATGGCTGTTGTAGTGAAGTTTCTGGGTTTCTTTCAGTAGAGCAGAGTATGTTGCCTTTGAAACTTTCCCACTAGTGTTTTGAAATGTAAAATGATTTGCCTTGGTCTGAAAGTCTGTTTTTAAGTATTTCTCCTGTTGCTTATTGTAAGAGAAGCTGTAATGAAAATTTAGGGAGGAAAAAATGATGGCTGAATTTGAAACATGTTTTAAATATAATTACAATTGTGGCTATATTGCAATATTTTAAATTCAGTCAAAAAAATGATGTGCGGATTTGATCTGAATGGGTTTTCAGGAACTCTTACCAAGTCCTTGCTTTAGGACTGTTAAGGATAGCTGGTTTTCTTTTGCAGTAAAGCTGCATGAGTTTGTTGGGTTTTTTTTTTTCCTAAAAAGTAGTCTCAAGCTGCACTTGTTTATGATGATTTTACCAGATCTGGCACTTTCATTTCTGGTGTATACCTGAAGCAGTTGCAACTTTTCAAATAAATCAAAATGGTTAACATAGTAGGAAAAATAGTTTTAGTACAAAATTTGTTCCATCACTTTTTAGTGTCCTATAAACAATGCAGAGAGGTTGAACTACATCAGGTGTTTATTGTAAAATTGGTTTTCATCACTCATTATAACTGAATCCTGTACAAAGGCATGGTGTCCTCTAAAGAGCCTGTTTGGTTTACTCAGTGGTTGGTAGTTTGTAAGTGCTACAGCAGCAAGTATTTAGTGCAGTAATTCCGGTGATGGTGTCCTCATATGTTTGTGAATCTGTGTTGGCTTCTGTATTTGCTTCATAGCAAGCCTTTGTTTGCAAGACTTATTCTCATCTTAATATGACATTGCTGAATGTTTCAGAAACACTGAAATTTAATTAAGTTAATGCTTTTTGTTAAAAATTAAAAGAAGAAAGTGGATGGTTTGTTGTTGTGCATTTCCCCAAGCAGTGACTGAATTGTGTGCTTTAAGTGGTTAAAAAGTTGGAGATTTGAAACCCAAATTTGAATAATCTGAAGGTGTGCAAGTAGTCTGGTCAAGCAACTATGCTAGTTGAAGGCATAAAGCAATGTCACGCTGCTAGATAAGAGAGAACATGAGTGTGTCATGCGGGATTTATTTTCTGGCTATAGTGATTAGTCATACAATGGGTGTATCTCTTAAAAACTACAAACCCCTTGTGCTGGAAAGGTGATCTTGCCCAGTCTGTTCCTCTCCATGATTATTGCCTTGTTACTGGGAAGGGATGAGAGAAGGAGAACTTGAAGTAAAAATCTACAGTTGTGGTAATGCTTGTAGTCATTTGTGAAGCTGATGGAAGATAGATGCTAAATCCCCAACCCTTCTCTTTCCCACACAGGCATCTTTGCACTCTCAGTCGTCCTCATAGAGGAAAGGATGATGCTCAGGGGCAACAGGTTCTTCCTTTCTTCAGTGGAAACCACTGAAGGCCATATCAGATTGCCAGGCTTCCAGCTAGGCACTTAAATGCCAAAATACACCATAAAGATCCACATAAGGGACTAGGTCCCTTCACTGCTTCATAAAATGCTGTTTTTCAGGCTACAACTCTTTTCCAAAATGTTTTAGGTTGTGAAGTATCACTGAGCTGTGATGGCCTGTCTTCTAACTCTTGTGCTGCCTCTTAGGATTTCATAGAGTCATCAGTGGCACTTTTTCAATCTGATGATGAAGATGGTAAAGCATTCGACATCATCAATGAAGAAATCCCTGATTTGGAGCTGGCTGGATTTGGCCCAGAGACAAGATCAATTCTTGTGAGAAGTGGAGTGTAAGTCTACTGAAATATATGGATAGAAGTATTAAGTATTTTTGTGCACAGTTGGGTTTTGGTACATGTTTTGACAGAATATATTTCACATGGTACAGGTGATAAAGATTTGGAGGAGAAAAATGTTTCTTTCAGTTTTCTTGATAAATGAGAAAAAGAAAAAAGACTCAGTTTTCTCTAAATCTCATGGTGACTTTGACTTGGATCTGGACATTCTTGTCACTAGAGAAAGCTTACAGTGTCCCTCCAAAGGTCACACGGACTGTAGTTTCATGATACAAGAGCTTTGGCGGTAATACAGAATAGGGATTTGGGGTATTGGGGTATGTTAAGAACTGGAATACCTTTTGGGACAGGTGGAGCCTGTACAGAAAGGATGGGCTGTGCCTTATTTGTAGTAGAGTCAGGCTGCTGGCACTGAAAATAAAAATCCTTTTTAGAGAACTATCTAAACTAAAAGCAGGGTGTTAAACCAACAGATGTGGGAGAGTACCTGGTTGAAGCTGACAAAGCCTACAGGGTGGACTTGGCTCACTTTAAGTGTGCATATGTGAAGTCCAGGAGGAAAATAAACAGCACAATTGCAATAAGGTAAATTTGACTGCCTGCAGTGTCTGTTGACTGAGATATGGAGTGTTACTGATGGAGCAAGGACTAACCTTACAAATGCTAGAAGCCTAAAAATAGTATGGGGGGAACTAGAATGCTTGGCATGAAATGACAGCTCTGATACAGTGGATACCACAGAGATTCGCATGAAGGATAAGCAGAGGAGCTACCAACTCTATAGGAAAGATAGAGTAGGCTGTTACAGGCATGAGAGTGGCACTGTACATGAAGAATGGTATCCAGTGCTAAAACATGAAATACATTATAGGGAAAAGAGCACTATGGAATCACGTGGGTGGAAATTCCAGACTTTAATAGTAATTTTTAAATTGCAGTATTAACATTGTCATGCCTACCCTAATGGTGATGGTGACAGGTATTGGCAACTGTTAAGTGACACTAAAAAAGCTTCAAACTTAGGACAGATAGCAACAGTGGAGGGTTTGAACTGGTCACATAGAGAGTGGATATCAGTGTCTCATGGGGATGAGACAAGGATGAAAGGCTGGGACTCAATCTGGAGAAGAGCTGACTGAGGAGGGATATGAATGAGATCTTGCTGTAGGCAAGCTTAATGCAGCAGCATTCACAGAATCCTGCATGACAACAGTTGGGGGATGTTTTACAGAACTAGCTGAAGATTGCTTTAAAGCAGATGTAGAGGTTGGAGCAAAAAGCCTTTCTTACACCAGAGGCAGTGAATTTCTAGAACTTGCTGCTAAAGTAGGCTGTAGTAGCAGATAGCACCAGGAGGTTTAAAAAAGCACTGGATGAATCAATAACAGATTCATAAACAACTGCTAAAAGGACTAGGAAAGGAGATGCCCTCTAATATCCCTAATATAAGAGTCTCAAGTGCTGGGTGACTGAGAGAAGAATGTACCACCAAAAGTGGCCAGGTTAGCAGTGTCTCTAACTAGCACCCATCTACTGCCAGTGCCAAAGAGAGGGTGTGCAGGACTAGAGGCACCCTGGGTCTCTCATAGATGCTTTGCCTCATCTTATCAAGGCTTCCTCATTTCCTTCTCTTTCTTTTTAAATTTTTGTCAAATGCAACTGGAAAATTTACAAGAAAGCCCTGTCTGGAGAGACACTGAACAGCTGAATGTTCAGCTGAGAAACAAAACACTTGTCAATTAAGTGTCTTTCCTCTGGGCTTCTAAGCAAGGCATCATCTAATGCTGAATGTATATTTGATAGAAAGGCAGAGACCCAAAGTTATTTGTTTGTCAATGTAGCATTTGCAATGTAAAAGCAGAAAATCAAGTGTGTGACAATTTTGCGCCTCTCATTGGGTTTGGTGTTACATCGTCCGTCAGATGGACTTATCAAGAAAACTCCAAAGAAAATTGTTCTGTTTAACTTGTTAGTATGTTCATCAAACTACACAGAAAAATGTGTGTTTTCAGCTTAATTATTGTATGTTTCTCCAGGTGGGTCGCATATCAGCAGAAATATTTCTGTGGAGAACAATATGTATTGGAGAAAGGAAAATACAAATGTTTCTTTGACTGGGGAGGATCTAGTAAAACCATCATGTCAATTCGACCTATTAAGTTGGTGAGTTACCAGAACTTGTTAAGGGGAAAACTTAAAAGAAATGAGACTTTGGGAGATCAGAGCATACAATAATGTTATCATGTGGGCTATGCTGTTTAATCAATTTGTCTCTTTACTTGAAAACAAGTTAAACACCCATGTGGGTGACAATATAATGAGGCTGTTTAGGATAGAGACTGAAATGAACACTCTGGATCTTTCTATCTTTTGAGAAAGTTGTCAGGGAAACTTCATATAAAGAACTTCCCTTTAGCAGACTGCATTCATTGTAAGAATAACCTGGCCTGGAAAAATTAGTTTGCCTTAAAACACAGTAATTTATAATGCCTAATTGATGATGGATATAAAAATATTTAAGAAGTTATCTGGCCCATATTATTGTTGTATAATAGAGGTCTGATTTTTCCCACCCCCTCCTATTTGGATGCTAAAATATTTGTAATACATTTAGTGAATAAAGACAGGAAATATTCTTAATCCATTATTAAATCAAAGGTAGTGCAAGTTGCCTAAACAGATTAGTGCCAGAACTGTCAAAACCCTAATGCAAAACAAAGACAATCCTCAGTAATGAGTGTAAAATAGATGATGCTACTGCACTGAAAACAGGGAAGGAACAAACATTTAACCTGATTTTGAAAAGCACGTGTTGAAAGAGGTGTCCAAGTCTTCTTTTGTTTTAAATTCTGTCTTTTTTTCAATAGACTCAAAAATACAGAGACATTTACATAGACTCTAATCCAAATTATATTAACTAATTAATGCCGAAGTTGTCTGTGTGGAAAGGGACTGAACAGTCAGGCAGGTAGTTATGAGCTTACAGGCAGCTGATGGCAAAGGCTGAGGAAGAGAGTTGTGCCAAAACCATGGGATGTGTGTTTTTTCTCTGCTCTTGAGTTCATAATTAACAAGTTTCAGGAACTTGATGTGTCTTCTAGGAAATTAATTGTAATTAATTTTCTTTATTTATATGCATGTATATATATGTTTATTATTGCAGGAACCACTTGGAACGAATGAGCCTCCACATTGGGTATGTTGACATTATATAACAGTCTCTAGTACTAAACTGCATTTAGTAATTAAATACAGGTAATGTTGAATGTCTTGCTTTGTTACTTCAGATGATATCTCAGTATTATCATCTCCATACAGCACAGCATTGATGGAGGAAACTAGTAGGTGTATAAAGGTTGAGTTTGCTAATGTTCCACTCTTATTCCAGGTCCTACCTTTTAGTATTCTGTCCTCAAAAATGCAAGCAGTTCAGTAGGTTTTGGGTGACTTTGGCTCTCTATAGCTATTTATTTTCCTCTTCTTTCCTTCCTGTTGCTGGAAACTCGCTATCACATGCATTCATCCTTCTCTTTGTGGCATATATTCTTTCCATTATTTTGCATTGTATCTGGTTTGTCACTATCTTGTTCATTATGAGGTGAAGAAGAAAGTATAAACTGCAGAAAGCTGAACTGAAGTCTTCAAACCTGCAGGTGCATCAACAGAGGATGTTGTGGTTTTCAGTCTTGGATGCTGGTAGCTCTGCTTCTCATAGTCTCCCAGTCATGTATAGCCACTCCTCTAGCAGCAGGCATCACTTGTTCTATGCGTCCCTTTTCCTCACAGTAACATATGACCTTGACCAAACACATCCTGATTATAACAAATCTGTGATAAATCCCTTCTGAGATAGAATCTATTTCCCTGAAAGTTGCATCTGACTTGGTGACAACTTAAGAAGAGAAAGCAGTCCCTATAATTCACTTTTAGTCCCAAGAACAAGTTAAAGTTTTGCACTTTTGGTTGTTATCTCACAAGGTTATGTTCTGTTAATGTATGTTAGTGATATCTTTCAAAACCAAAAACCTTCTCTTAAGTGTTTGTGCTCTTCATCAAGGATGGTCTGTCTCCTGCAATGTTCTGTCCCAACAGGGCTCTCCTCCCTTCCTCCATTAGTTGCTTGATTTCTTTTTTTCTGTCCTGGAATACTGTCTTTTTTTCTGTATGGGTGATGATCCAAGTGGTTCATTTTGCTCTCTCTATGATATGCTCTTAATTAAGCAGAGTTAGAAAATGTTGTTTCAATAAACATGACTTTTTTTTCAGACAAAAGAGACTTTATTGCTCAATGGTTCTGTTTCAGAAGACTTAAGTACTTTGTCATCTGGACACAGTTTTGCTCTTCCTTGCTTGGATGGGTGTAATAGGCGTAAGCACATGGGAAACACATACACTGTGTTGTAGGTCAACATTGCAGGTTGACCACACCCTTCTTTTTCTCTGGGTATTCAAGTTCTACAATTTTATGATTAACTCAGGACTACAGGAAATTTTTCCTGTCTGAAGACATTATTGATGTGTTATTTTAGTCTTATTCACTGATTTCCTGCCAGGCCTATTCATATGGCAGTTTGTGGCCAAATCAAAGACTTGCAAGTACGTTCACAGTACTTGCCTTGGTAAACGATACCAGGTAAAATAACTGACTCAGAGGGAACTGGTTCAAGATAACAGTTCAAGATAATTTTCTCTCCATCTTCAACTCTCCTACTTTTTTAGGATGTCCCAAAACCTATTTTTTTAGTGATTTAATCCAGTTTTACAGACCTTTAAGATCAATTCAGACCTTTGAAATGTCAATAAATTCTGCTTTATAATCTTTTAATTTCCAATATTAGGTGAAAAAATCTCTCTGTATGTGTATATGCGCAGTCACCTTTAAATACTGACATGTAGTACCTTCTGTTTTGCCTTTTGTGTTCTCTAATAGCAGTGCTGATGCAATTTTAAAAAAACATTATCCTGACTTATCACAATCCTGGTTTTCACAGGATTCTGCCCTAAAGCTGGGGAAGGAAAAACGTCATTCATATTGCTATAGTTCTTTTAGAAGGTGAAATATTTTGAGTAAGTTTTTATGGGAAAGCATTTAATCACTTAGGATAAGTAAAGGGCAGTCTTTTGGATAAATATGAAAAATTTTTTGTTCAAATTAAATAAAAGTTTCCATGTGTGAAACACTCTCTTAGTTTGGCACTGAAAAGCGTGGTGCACATGAGCTAAGAAATCCTTAAGCATCTTAAATTTGACCCTTATATAAGCCATATACCAGTTATTTGGAATGATTATACAGTATATTCCCACACTTTTAATAAACATATGTCTGAGCTCAGGGAACTGTTTTCACTGTCTACAAGAATGAGTCTTTTTTTTCACTTCTGCTTTTAGTTGCTCATCAGAAATTGAAAAGCAACTAAATTTTCTTAAATTTCTCAGTAATTCCCCTGGCGTTTTCTTCCTGCCAGGCTCCCTAATAGGCAAAGTAGATACATTAAGAATGTCTGAAATCGCCAACTCTAAGAAGCCATTAATTTTATTTATTAAAAATAAAACTTGATTTTGCCCAGCAAGAACAAAGCCTCTTTCAATAGCAACTGACTTGTACAGATGATTTAGGAAGCAAGAGATAATTGCTGTGATAACTTCTATTTGTATTTTAACATGCTGTTCGTTGACTTTTTAGGAAGTGAAACCTGACAGTAATGTCAAACCCTGACAAAGCAGAGATAGCTGAGACTCAGTGCAGATATGCAGTGTTTTCACTGAGGAATCAGTACTTCACCACAGCTTTTGTCAAATTAAGACCTTCATTCATTATTAGATACATTCTGTATAAAAACTGAGTTACAGATCTTTTTTTAAAAGCCTTGCATAGCATCTGGCCTATGAAAGAAAGACCATGTGTGTATATATATTCCTTTATAAAGAGCTTTGAGATAAGTGGGTAGAAAATACTATGTAATTACAGCCTAAATAGATGCTTTGTGACATAGCAGCGCAATTATATTTACAGAAAAATCACTTACACGTCATTCATTACATTGTAACTGATGTGTGTTCTCCAATTTGCAGTTACAGCACGCAAGGCCAAGTTAAGCCTTTCTTGTTCTTTCTAACAGGAAACATATTCATTTATTTTAAAAACACAGACTGAGTTTTTCCATAAAATCATTTGCTGATACTTGTGTTTGGCCTTCTCGCTCCGTACTGGCAAAAGCATTTGATTTCTTTTCTTTGGCAGTAAGCTCGGCCAATCTGGGGCATGAAGGGGGAAGTAGCTCTTGCAACAGCCATCGTGTTTTTCTTCCATTACAGAATATGAGCTGGTCTCTTGATACAGTTAAATTTTTCATTTTCTTCCAGCCTCTCTTTCAGGCTTTAAAGTGAAATTCACCTCAGTTACACAGTGGTGGCCCAAGGGTAGAGAATTCTAGGTGACTTTGCCATAGATCATAGACTATGTCACGCTATTTTTCTTCACTCCCCCCTTTTTTTTCCTTTTTTTTTTCTTTTACTGCAACATTTTCAACCTTATTGCTTTTTCAGGGTGAATTGATCACATCTTACTGGTGGGGTATGATTCAATGTGACTTGAAGTTCTTCACCATGACATGTAAAAACAGCTTAGGTGAACTTCAGAAGTTCATGGTGCATCTACCAGCCTGTACCCAGCTCCCCCAGAAATTCTCCTTCTAATTCTTCAAAGTTCTCCTGCTAGTTCTTAAGTGAGAAACTACCTGTGATCACTGTGGTCACAGAAGATTTTAAGGCACTTTGTTAACTGTAACCCTCTGTCTTTTGACCAACAATTCCCCATCCTGTTTTGAACGCTGGATTGCCGAGCTGTAGGAAGAGTTGGCTGCAGTTCAGGGGTACTTTGGATGGAAGATAACGTTCTTCAGTCCTAGCCTTCTCTTTTTCTCTGGGTTGTGTCCTGCTGCAGTTGAACTTAGGCTTGATGCCACTGCCTTAGCATCACTGGGAAGCATCCTGTACCGGGCCCAGAGATGATAAACCACTTGATCTTTCTAATAATGAAGCAGCTGTAGAAATGTAGAAGATCCCTTAAATGAGAATTCATTCCAATTACTGTATCTTTGTGAATTTAATGGATACTTCTCTAAGACCACAGCTGTCTCTGTGTACATTAATGATAATGCATTTGTTTTCCTTTTAGTCATTGGTTTTGTTTTGTTTTGTTTTTGTAGCTCAAAGCTTTCAGTAATACACATTTCCAAGGAGCATGTATAGATTTCACAGCAGAAGTTTCTGATTTTACATCATTCATACCATGTTCTTTTAAGGTTCTTCGGGGATGGTAAGTCTGGTTTACATGCCACCATTTTAAGTAATAAGAAAGGTGGGGTTTTTTTAAACACTACTAAATTTCAGACAGCTGAAACTGCTGTCTGAAACACGTGCCCATCATATTCCATCATGTCTTAGACCCTTTGTCTTGCAGTGCAACTGTTGTCCTGTCATTGGTTTGGGTAGTATGCATTTTGCTTTCCCTGTGGGAAGTTTGCACAATTACTGTGATTCTTTTTTTAACTCCAATTAGAATTTATTCCAGATTTTGAGAACGTGGTACAGTAGAAGTGTCTTCATTCCACTCACATCATTTGACTCTGGAACTGAGATTTCTCTACCACGTGATTTCATTTTGCTTCTTTGGTTGCTTTGTCGCATAGCCTTTCAAGTCACCTTACTTTTAAGCTTAACAAGAACAAACAGAATTTTTTATTCCTTATTTCCTTAGCAAATATTAAATCTTGAAAAAACACTGCTGTTAATAAGCAGCTAGAACAGCTAATCTTTTTTGTTACGTTATTCTTACAGTTGGCTCCTGTATTACCAAGGGGAAGTCACCGACAATCACTGTGTGCTGGAAGAAGGCCTTTACGTTGACCTCAGTTCCTGTGGCTGCCCAACTGCTACAATCAAATCCCTCAAGCCTATTCAATATGTAAGGACTTTATTGAAAAAAAAAATAACATTTTGTAACTCTTTTCCAAGTCAGATGTCTGAAGCAAGTGCTTGGGTTAAACAAATTTTCACTCAGGGAAAAGAGTGAGATTTGTTTTCTTGGCTTATGAGATCTTTTTTGGTTAGGAACAAGCCAGCTACGTGCTCACATGCTCGTGGTCACTTGTAGGCTCACACAACTTGGGCTCAAAGTTGCTCCCTTTTGTATGGGTTACATTGGTTGGCATTTTTCTGACTGGTCTTTATAATACAGCTCAGCAAGCCTAGTACGCAGTGAGGCACTGATTTTGTCACACTGTCTGAGTGTATGGGACTTCTTTTATTTTGTCTGCAGCCAAGGTTCAGTCTTAAAGCAAAGTACATACAGAAGGCATGAAAATGGAAATTACAGGGTAGCATATTGACATGGTTTCAGCCCCAACTAAGACTATGTGGTGCTTCACTCACTC